CAGCATTGTTTGTTCCCACATGTACAAAGAAGGGAGGGATGTGTGTCCGTGGGTTGTGTATCGGTAGGACGCATGAGCGCTGGGGGTCTGTTAGTTGTACCTTTGATCTTTGCTGCAGGGAGACGGCACACCTGATGGTTCCAAGGGCTTTCCCGACATGCGTGTTTTTCCTTCCCCCGCAGCAAGGAATCTCTGACAACTACCGCTCGTCTCCGTTTGTTGTTGCAGACTTTGGCATCTTTTCCCTTACTTGACTGGCCTTTTGTCTCTTTCAGAGTTACTCAGTCGCGTGGTTCCTTCAGAGGGTTTCTACTCATCTCTACATGTTCAGCTTTTTCTATTTTCTAAACACTTGTTTGATGTTTGGTCTCAGCAGCGTTGGACTTCTTACTGATAGCTGAACCTCTGGGTATTGCAAGGTGTTGGTGCTGTTCCGCTATGGATTTCTTTCTTGCGGGTTTCTGATTTTTTATAATGCACTTGCAATTTTGCCACTTAGGAAGACTTCTCAAATGCTGTGATAGCATCTTGCATTGATTTGTCTGGGTTAGTTTCTGTTAATACCATGCCTTCAACACACAGTTTAATATTCTTAGAGATCTCATTTATGTGCATTCCCATGGCTGCCTAACTTATTTCTTATTCGCTGAGTCTGTAGTTCTAAAGTAGGCAAACAGAAGCAGGGATAATGGACAGCCTGCAAGTTCCTTGATGGTGAGGATGGTTCTGAATGAGTTCATTAATTTTTATATGCTGTCTGATTTGAATATAGACAGATCAGCATGTTAACTAAGCTGCCATCAACAATGGTTTGGGAACATGGATCTGAATATGATTACAGAATGTTAAAAGATATGTAGTAAGGGGCTGACTCAGTAGTTCTGATGTTTGTGATGATTGATGTTTTTAGTACTGTTTTAAAATTTAATAAAAAAGTACGTAGTGGTTAAGAGCCTGGGACTGGGACTCAGAGGATCTGGGTTCGAGTCCCCGCTCGGCCATGGAGCCCACTGGGTGACTTTGGGCCAGTCACAGACTCTCAGCCCAACCTACCTGACAGGGCTGTTGTTGTGCGGATAAGATGGAGGAGGAGAGATATGTAAGCTGCCTTGAGCCCTTTGTAGGAAAAAGGCAGGATATAAATCCATAAATAATAATAATAATAATAATAATAATAATAATAATAATAATAATAATTGTTTGAGAAAATAAAGCACATCAGGAAAGGGCACTCGACCTCATCAAGAGATTTGGACATGTCCAGGTACATTATCAGGAGTTTCAGCTTGCTATACTTACTGAAATAAGTGTATCTGGTATATTTGACAGGTGCAGCTTCTGTCTCTCTGCTGAACAGGTCAGTCCTGCGTGGTTCTGTGGCATCTGGTCAGTGGCCGCATCAGTGGCTCCCTCGGCACTTCGCTGCAAATGTGTCATACTCCGGATGTGCCAGTGCTGGGCTTGCAGCCTCCTGCTGCCCGCAGGCTCACGTCTTTGGCCCCGGCATCTCTCCCACCTGGCCACAGCCCACTCCCGCACTCTGCACGCAGGCCAAGTGCCCCCGTCCCCGTATCTGACCACAGCAAGAGGCCTCCTGTGCCGGGCAGCCCGGGTGCAACTCCCGCCCCTGCTGTCCTGCTGCAGCGACACCGCAGGGATGGGTGCCAATGAGCCACCGCGGCGGCGGCTGCAGCTAGCATTACATCGTGCAGCCCGGCTTTCTCCTCTTGCGGGGAGACCCGAGTGGTGTGAGTGTGCTCCTTCCCCTCCGTTGGCGCTCCACAGCAAGCCCGAGAGGTGGGGCCGGCTGAGAGGCAGGAGGGACTGGCTCGATGTCACCCGGGCAGTCCCCTGGCCAGGTGGAGGCCACAGCCCGAGTGTACAGCCCTGCAGCCCTGCCCTGTTGCTGCAGCGCAGCAGTCGTCCACCACCTGCAGTGGTTACTAGTTGGGGCCCGGGCCCAGTTCCAGGTGTTAACGCGAGTGTGCAAAGCCCCAGGTGGCTTGGGGCAGAGTATCTGCGGGACACCTCTTCCCGTGTGAACTTATCTGGCCCCTTGGACCACCATCTGGGGCCCTCTGGAAGGAGCTCCCTCCTCAGGAAAGGAGGAGGGTGGCTGCGAGAAGGGCCTTCTCTGGAGTGGCACCCTGACTTTGGATGCTTTTCAAAGACCTTTTTATTTTCCCTTTTATTTTCCTGGCATTTTAAATGTTAGAATGGTTTTTAACATTCTGTATCTTATCCTAGGATGTGCTTTTTGCCCTTTATGTCATCACTTCTGTTAAGAGTGATATTGGTGCATTTTAAATTGTTTTATGACTGGATTTTAATATTATGGCAAATGGGACACACTAAAAATCAAATAAACAAACAAACACACTAACCACAAATTTTGCTCTTTTGTCCATTTTACCCCATTCGGTTGTCTGAAAACTGCTGCCTTTGTCTTCTGTTGCTGCTGTCAAATTTATCCGTGAGGAGGCAGCAGAGCAGCCCACACGGCACGTGACCTCCAGGACACCCCTGAGCCGGCCACCACTACCCTCGTGGATGAGACACGGTAACGCCGAGCCCCGGTGGGGGGCGCATCTGGTGCCCTCCCACTCATTCGGCAGAGAGCAGGAGTCACTCAGGAAACACCTCCACAAACAGCGAAAGGGCGCCCCGGGTGGTCCCAGGCCCCTGAAGGAAGCGGTGCTGAGGCCGCTCCTGGAGAAGCGCTCCCTGGACTCAGAAGAGCTCAGCGGTGCTAGGCCAGTGGCAAGCGTCCCGTTCCTGGGCAAGGTCCTGGACAGGATGGTGGCCGACCAGCTCCGGCACTCTTGGATGAGACCGATTCCCTGGACCCATTTCAGTTGGGGCTCGGGCTTGGGTTTGGCACGGAACCAGCTGTGGGCGCCCCGCATGAGGACCTGCACTGGGAGAGGCAGCGGGACTGTGGCCCGATCCTGCTGGGACGCCTGAGCCGGGCATGAGGCACCACAGGGCAGCGGTTTGCTCCTACTCGGACAGTAGGCTCCCGAGGGCGGCGCTTGGGGGCCTGCTCAGTCCGGTGGGGCCAGACTTGTCCCCAGAGTTATTTAGCATAGGGACAGAGAGAGTCGGAAGGGGCCTCCTGGGCCATTGGCGTAGAAACTCCGAGTGGGGTCATTTGGGGTTGGCCATCAATATGCTGATGACGGGCAGCTCCCCACTCTTCCTCTGCAGCAGGGCAGGCCCTGGATGTGGGTCGGCCTGCCCACAGCAAGGCGCAGGGTCTGCCAGGAGGGCCCCCAGGAGGTGTCCCGGGCGTCTGGCAGAGCGCCGTAAGAGGAGCAGGCCAGGGCCTCGGAAGTTGGCCTGGGCAGCCACCGTGGAGGGTTCCCTCTGGGGAGCGGAGCCGCAGAAGGGGAGCAGGGCCTTTTGCGGGGGGCTGTTGGGGGAGGCAAAAGCCAAGGGGCTGCAAGAGAGGAGCATGGAGCACACTGTGGCCGGAACCGGGCTCTGCGTGGTGCCGATGTGCTCCTAGGCAGCTCCTCTGCTCCAGCAGGGGAGCCCCTCCACGGGGGCCTTTCCCTCCAGGGGGCTCCCAGGAGCAGAAGGGCAGGAGGGTAGCCTGCTGCTGCGCTGCCCACTCTGCTCACCCAGCAGCAGGCCAGCTGCCCGGGCGGCACCGGCACCGGTCCCAGCCAGGGGCTGGCATGCAGCCCTCCGCCACGAATGTGCCAGCTCCCTTAAGGCCTTCCAAATTGGGGGCCATCCAGGCACCTCGTGCACCAGGCCCTGCGCGAAGCCGCCCCTCGCGCCCCGGCTGGACAGAGAGGGCGGGGGGCCCTCGGTCCCCTTCGGAGGCCTGGCTCAGCTTCCCGGTGCCATCTGCAGCCTCCAGCTGAAGGGTGAGTGCCTGGGTCTTGGACTGACCTTCTGGGAGCCGCTCATGGAGGTGTCCCTCAGGCAGCAGCACCCTGATGCCCCTGGGTGGGAGATGGCCGTGCTCGCACGGGGCTCCTGGGGCGCCCCTGCGGAAAGGCAGGCCCCAGCTTTGCCCCAGCCAAAGGCCTCCTGCAACGCTCCTCGGGGGCCCGGTGCCCCTCCATGGGCAAGCCGCAGCCGTGCCCTCAGCTGCCCCCAAGCGCCCGCCCTGCAGGGTTGGAGGTGCCTCCCTCGTGCCAGCCCCCAGCGGGAGCCAACCGGCCGGGCCGGGAGGTGCCTCGGAACAGCCCTCGGGGCGCGAGCGGCGAAGTGCCCGCTCAGCAGCCTCCAGAGAGCTCCACCTGCCCCGGCTGGCTCTTCGGGCTGGTGGCTCCCCCAGGAAGTGGGTGGCTGTTCAGGAAGGTGACTCGGCCACGCCGGGCTGCCGGTGGCCGCGCCTCGCCTCCTTGCTGGCTCTGCCAGTCAGCTGGGAGGGAGCAGAGCCGAGGCGCCCCAGGCACTCCAGAGCACCGGCGGCGGCACGCAGGCAGCAGCAGCAGCGGCAGCATGGCGGGAGGTAAGCCACGGAGCGGCCGAGCGGCCCCAGCATGCGGGGAGGATGAGGCGAGCGGGCAGCACACGCCGGGAGGGTGCGGGGAGAGGGGCTGGCGGAGCAGCCCAGGCGTGCCTGTGCTTCTGCCCCCAGAGCTGCAGCTCATGTTCATCGACTGGCAGTGCCCCAGCAACAACCGGCAGCACCGCACGGCCGAGATGAGCAACACGCGGCTGATCACGCGGCGGGGGCAGCCCTTCACCTTCACGCTGCACTTCCTCTCCAGGGGCTACCAGCCCGGGCTGGACTCCATCTACCTGGTGGCAGAGACCGGTGAGCCAGCGGGACCGGCCGTGCGCCAGGCACCCACTCGGCCTCGAAGTGCCCCTTCCAGGCCTCAGGCGAGGGATGACCGCCCTGGCCTTGCCTTCTACCTCCAGGCCATCCCTGCCGGGGCCCAGGGGTCTGCAGCCCCCTCCCCACGCCCCGGGGGAACTGCTGCTGCCCACGGGGCACTAGCTGGCTGGCCAGCCAGTGGAGGGGAGAGCAAACACTTCCCAGCCCTCCACCAAGGAGGGGCAGCTCACCGGGGCAGCTCAGCAGAAGCCCGCTGCACATGGTCTACGGGGCGCTGGAACCTGCCCGGAGGCCACATGGAGGGGCAGGAGGGATTGGGGGCAAAATTCCTTCCCCAAAAGGGAGCCTGAGGATGGGCAGGGCCCTTCCCGCAGTGAGGTGAAGGCCACAGCAGGGGGAGCAGCTGGCATGCCCCTTCTCCCGTGCCCCTTCCCTGGAACAGTGACGGCAGCATGAATGGGGGCGGGGGGGGGGTGCCAGCTCGCCTTAGAGCAGAGGCCGAGAGCCGACTCTCCTGCAGCCCAAGGGCCAATTCCTGCTTTGGAGCAGCTTTGCCAGCTCTCCTCCAGTGGCGGGGAGGGCAGGAGGAAGAAAAATGGCTGCAGAGCCTGGCTTAAAGTCCTTGCTGGCCAAACTGCGTGGGGGGAGCGCCCTTCTCCAAGGGGCGGGGGTGAGGCCTGGAGGCAGGGCATTCTGCGACCCCACCAGAGCCCCCTCTGGGACAGAACCTGGGCGAGCTGCATGCCAGGCGGGTGCAGTGCAGGCCCGAGGCGGGGGCTTGCCCAAAGCCCCCACGCACGGGGAGGAGACAAGCGCCCCCGAAAGAGGAAGGGCAGCCGGCAGGCAAGGCGCAGAGCGGAACCTGGGCTCAGGGAGGGGGGCATCTTGCTGCCGGCTGCACACCCCGTAGCTCTGGCAGGGAGGCTCCTGGCTTCGGCCTCCACGCGGCCTCTGGCCGCTCCGTCTGCACACTTGTCTGCATTGCAAAACGCCCCAGTCGGCCACCCGGGGCTCAGCACTCTGCCTGCCCTGCGTCACCGCCTCCCGCAGCGCCCGCATCTCCCGCTGGCCTGCGCCCGGGGGGCCCCAGCTCACCCCCACAGGCCCACCCCGCCCGTCCGCCATGCCCACCCCGCGCCACGCTCTCGCCCTGCAGGGCCGCAGCCGGACCGGCAGCTGGGCACGCGGTCCATTTTCCTTGTGGGGCAGGGCCTGCAGGACAGGAGGCCCGTCTGGGGAGCCGATGCGGCCCCCAGCGGCCCCCGGTCCACCGACATCACCGTGTGGGCGCCTGCGGAGGTCCCTGTGGGGCGCTACCAGCTGAAGACCCGCATCGACTCGGGCCAGGCCTCTGCCTCCTACCACCTGGGCGAGTTCATTGTGCTCTTCAACACGTGGTGCCCAGGTACGGGATCCGCTCAGCGGGAAATGGGGGGGGCTGCATCGGGCAGGCCGTTCCTATGGCTGCCGCCCTGAGAGGGGTCCCCGCCGGGCAGGGCAGGGAGGGGGCTGCTGCAGGGGAGCTGCGAACCTGGAGTCCCATTTGGGAGCCCCATGAACTCCGGGCTGGAGCCTAAGACAGCCCTCCTCTGCAACACGAGGACGGTTGGCCTACCTTACAGGTCTGTTGTGAGGAACACCGGGTATTCCGGGGCGGCGACGAAGCGCCTGGTAGTGACTGCTGCTCCCAGCTGCCACTACCCGGCGCTGCGCAGCCCAGCCGGGGCTCCCGGGCGGCTCAGCCACGCAGACTGCCGAGGGCGGCCGCGGGGGGCAGGGCAGGGCGGCGGGCACGGTGCAAGCCCTCCGGGCTGCGGCCCCTGCGCCCCCCCGAGGCAGGGCCCGGCGGCTTCCCCGGAGGGGGCCCCCCCCCCCCTGCGACGGCTGGCGGCTCGTGGGCGGCTGGCTGGAACGCTGCCGGGGAAGTGGGGCTGCTCTCGAGTGGGAGCCCCCCGGGAGGACGGGGCCGCTGCCGGGGACCCCGGGGGAGGGGCGGTGGGGCCGGGCGCCCCGGCTGACCCTTCCGCACCCGCCCCAGACGACGACGTGTACCTGCACAGCGAGGCGGAGAGGCACGAGTACGTCCTGAGCGACCACGGGCTCATCTACCAGGGGAACAGCAAGTGGATCCAGCCCGTCCCCTGGAACTACGGACAGGTACCCGAGCCGCGGCGGCCCGCCGGCCCCGCTCCTCGGGCGGGCCCCGTGCACGGCCTTTCCGGGCTGCCGTCGGGGCGGGCGGCGAGGCGCGCAGGGGCTCGGCCACCGGGCGGTGCTGCGGGAGCGCCGTCCGGGCGAGGATGCGCGGCTTCGGAAGAGGCTTTCGTCCCGGCTGCGGAACGCGGGGGGCGGCGGCGGCGGCGGCCCGGGCGGGGGGGGGGCGTGCCCGAGGCCTCGTGGCGCGGGTCCCAGAGCGCGCGCGGGCCGCCTCGCGGGCCCCACGGCCGGCCCTCCGCTGCGGGCCCGCAGCCTTCCCGGCCACACGCGGGCCCGGCCGGCCCGCTCCCCGGCGGCACTCCCGATCTCCGGATAAGCGGCAATGCAGCGAGCCATGGAAAGAAGAGGGCGCGCGCGCGGGTGCGGGAGACCACCTGGAAATACTGACGTAAAACGCCAGCTAGGGATACGGTTCAACAGGCGCGGACCGAATATCAATAAGGACGAAAATTTAGCACAAGTCAGCTGATCGGCCCAATGATACAGCGCCAGCTCTTAAAGGCTCAGTCCACCTTCCCCCATGGAAAGTTGCCTCCTTTTCAAGGGTATCCATGGTGGAGAAGGCCCTGAGAAAAATTACAAAACAAATTTTGAACATATTTCTCAGGTGTAGCTAGAGGAATTCTCTGTGTAACATGCATGATGCTCATCTTGCCCGTATTAACCCTGCCCCACGGTCTCAGGCTCAGCAGGCCTCCCTGTCCATGTCCCATGAGATCCCGTTAGTCACTTCATTCAGGTTTCATCAGGAGAGTTGCATCTCTGGGCAGAAATATTTCCACCAAAGTTCTGTCCTTCGAGTGCCACTGAGACTGCCAGCTGACGGACGCACCGCAAGGCGGGGTCTCCGGGCGGCACCAGTTCAGACTCGGACCAGCCAGCCGGAGAGCCAGAGCATCACTGAAAGGGCCAGGCAGCCGAACGCAGGGGCTCCCTGCAGGAGGCACAGCAGCCCACCCGTGGCCGGCCTTGGCCTGGGCCAGCCAGGCCATTGGCCAACCTTCTCTTTCCAGCAGCGGCAGATCAGATGCTCACCTGCGCAGCGGGGAGTCTTCCGCGGTGTGGGCCCCGGAGACGGAGGTGGCCCTCTCCCTCGGCCGCCTGCGAGTGGCTGAGGGGCTGCTGCTTTCCCCTGCAGCTCGAGGAGGACATGGTGGGCATCGCCCTGAGGGTGCTGGACAGAAGCCTGGACTTCCAGCAGGACCCGGCCCAGGACTGCGCCTCGCGCGGCAGCCCGGTCTACGTCAGCCGGGTGGTGAGCGCCATGGTACGAGCAGCAGGCACTGCCCATGCCCGGGAGCCTCCTTGCGGTGGGGGGGACGCCGTGCCCTGGGGGGCCGGCGGGAAAGAGCCCGGCCAGCTGTCTGCCAGGAGGGGCAGCTTTGCCGGTCAGCAGAGGCTGTGCCAGGCCTGGGCCTCTTCCGCCGGTGGTGGCGCCGCAGCTCCCTCTCCCACCGCAGATCAACAGCCTGGACGACAAAGGCGTCCTGCAGGGCAACTGGAGTGAGGACTATTCTGACGGCGTCCGTCCGAGCGACTGGAATGGCAGCACAGCCATCCTGAGGCAGTGGGACCGCACGGGAGGGCAAGCGGTCAAGTACGGCCAGTGCTGGGTCTTCGCAGCCGTGATGTGCACAGGTGAGGGCCGGCCACGAGGCTTGGGTGGCAGGGGCTTTTCTGCCTTGGCCCTGGACCGCCGCCTCTGGCAGCTGTGCTGCGGACGGGGCCTCTCTGCCGGGCCTGTGTGTGCGCGTAGAAAGAGCCCCTCGCTGCCGGACGCTCCAACGGCTGCGCAGGAGCCTCACCGACGTGGGCAATGGAGCGCTTAGGACGTGCGGCGCCGGTCACCTCGCCGTGCAGGCTGTCCTGCCTGCAGGCTGGCAGCAGGGCTGGGGCTGGGGCGTCCTCAGGATCTCGGCATGCCTTGCCAGGACTTGGGGGAGAGGCGGCCGGCTCCCCCGACACAGCGATCCCAGCCTGACTTGGGGCACTTTCCAGAATGCAAGATGGGTGATAATGGCGGCTGAGCTGGGCAAAACCGAGAAGTTGTGGCTAGCCTGGATCTCCGCCTCTCCCTTAAAGCAGCTGGAAGCTCCTGCGTTGGCTCTTGAATGGCTCTGGGGAAAGGGGCTCAGCCCCCCAAATCAGCAAATGGCCCCTGGGAGGGGAGGGGGAGAGGAGAGGAGCCAGCCTGCTCAGCGGTGTGGCCTGGCCTAGCTGGGGCGGCAGAACTCGCCTGCTTCTGCAGGGAGAGGCCAATTTCCCAACAAGTCCCGGGGGCAGGCGGGGGCTTCCAGGGCGCGGGGCGGGTCTGCCAGTGGTGCTCTCTGCTCCCCTGCCCCCCCAGTGCTGCGCTGCCTTGGGATTCCCACGCGCGTGGTCACAAACTTCGACTCGGGACACGACACGGACGGCAACCTGGTTATCGACGTGCTGCTGGACAAGACAAGCCAGGTGCTGCCCATGGAGAGGAAGGACAGCATCTGGTGAGTCACGCTGCCCCGCCACCTGCCCCCCGCCTCGGGGGCTGCCGAGGCCACCCTCTCCTGGGCCACCAAAGCCGCGGGGGCCCGTGGGGCACGGCGAAAGGGCCCTCTTGCCCGCAAGAGGGGGAGCATCGCTGTGGGGCCGCCTCTGCCGCAGGAACTTCCACGTGTGGAACGAGAGCTGGATGGCGCGGAGAGACCTGCCCATGGGGTACGGGGGCTGGCAGGTGCTGGACGCCACCCCCCAGGAGCGCAGCCAGGGTAAGCCTCCCCCTCACCGCCGCCACCCGCTCGCTCTGGCCTGGGGCTGGCCGGCCGGCCGGCCCGCTGTGACCTCGGCCCTCTCCCCGCTGGGTAGGTCTGTTTCGCTGCGGCCCGGCGCCTGTCCGAGCGGTCCGGGACGGAGAGCTGCACCTCCCCTACGACACCCCCTTCGTCTTCTCCATGGTGAACGCCGACCGCGTGGTCTGGCTGCTGCACGGGGCGGCGAAGGAGATGCTCCTCTGGGAGACTAACGCCGTGGGCAACCACATCAGCACCAAGCAGGCGGGCACCGGCGAGCGGGAGGACCTCACGCACGCCTACAAGCACAAGGAAGGTGGGAGCCGGCCGGGCTGGGCCGGGGGTGGTCCCGGGGCAGCCCTCCTCACTTCCGGCAGCAGGGACTGGCTGGAGGTGGGGCGGGGGCGGGCCACGGGCTCCCTCTCGCGGCGGTGGAGTGCTTCCTGCCGGCCGGGCCAAGCCATCTCCGGGCCAGTGCAGGGAACGGGCTTCCGGCTTGGCCCAGGCGCTCCTTTGCTAGCCCCTCCCCTCCCCTCCCCTCCCTTCCCTGCTGAGCTGTGCTGGGTGGGGGACACCCCAGGGGGTGCTCCTCGAGGCACGGTGGCCAGGCAGCCTGGGCTGAGACCTGCCCCCCCATGACCCCTTTCGCACTTGCGGCACACCGGAGGCAGTGGGCAGGGCGGGTGAGCAGCCGCCCCGGCCCCCGAGGAGGAGCCGTCCTGCCACACTGCTGACAGCCCGGATCCCCCAAGGTGCCTGGCAGCTCGCCGAGCCTCTCTGTCGGCCCCCGCCTGCCACCGCGGCTCAGGTTCTCCATGGCTCTTCGTGGCAGCTTGGCCCAGGGGTTGGCCGAAGCCCAGGCAAGCAGGCCGCACCTCGTCCCTGGGGATGCCTCTGGGCAGGAGCTGCTGGCGGAAACGGCGGCCGGCCGCCCGCCCGTGCTGGCCAGTCCCAGCAGTGGCCTCAATGCAGGCTGAGCCCGTGTGCCCCCCCACAGGCTCCTCGGAGGAACGCCACGTGTTCGAGAAGGCACTGGCACAGATGCCGGGCCGCGGGGCCACACGGAGCAGGACGGGCCTTCGCGCAGGGGGGGCCGAGACCTGGCGCAGGCACTTTCCTCACCGGGGCGGCAGCGGCCCCCCGGAGCCCCCCACGGGAGCCCAGACCTCCCTGGAGCTCAAGCTGGCCGAGAGCCCCGAGATTGGCCAGGACATCCAGCTGGTGCTGGTGGCGCGGAACCTGGAGCTCGCCGCCAAGCAGCTGCAGCTCAGCCTCAGCGCCCAGGGCCTGCTGCACACCAGCCGCCCCCTGCCGCCCTTCTGGCAGGACAAGCTCTACCTCTCCCTCAGCCCTGCGGAAGGTAAGGTGGGCGGGCGGGCGGGCGGGCGGTGGCAAGGGGCCAGCCGGCCTCCCCACACGGGCGCTGACAGGTTCTCCTTGCAGAGAAGCGGCTGCGCTGGCGCATCCCCTTCGAGCAGTATGGCGCGCACCTGGGCGACGACAGGCAGGTCCACGTGGTGGCTGTCGGGGAGGAGAACACCTCGTGGCTGAAGGCGCTGGCGGAGAAGACCATCACCATCGCCAGCCCCGCCTTGGCCATCCACGTACGCAGGGGCCGCCGGGGCAGCGGGGTGGCCGTGGCGGCACTGGCGGGACGGCCCTCTTCCCCCGCTCACTCCTGGGTCTCTGGCGCAGGTTCTGGCCCCGGTGGTGGTGAACCAGCCCTTCCCGCTCCGCGTGGACTTCGCCAACCCGCTGCCCGTGCCCGTCGGGCACTGCGTCCTGACCCTGGAGGGCTGCGGGCTAGTGCTGGGCCAAGCCCAGATCAAGTGAGTCAAGGGGCCGGGGGGGCGGCTGGGCTTCCCTCGGGCAGCGCCCCCTTCGCCAGCCAGCCCCTTCGCTGGCACAGCTCCGCCCGGGAGTCAGGATGGGGCAGACCGGGTGGGGGCGGCAGCCAGAGCCCCTTCCATGAGGCCAGAGTGAAGGCCGGGAGCACCACAAGCACACGGGGCAGTGGGGAAGCCCAGCAGAGCACCTCGTGGGCGGGGGCATCACTGCGTTTTCTGCCCCACGGCCCCCTTCCCCTGCTTCTGGGGTGAAGGCCTCTCTTCCCACCAGGGGCGGCAGGGACATCGCTTGAAAGCACGTGCCGGTGGTGCGGAAGGCCCTCGCACAATCCGTGCTCACGGGGCTTGGGAGCAGTGCAGGCCAGCGCCCCGGCCTGGGCACTGCTGCTGCCTGTTCTGCATGGCGGGGAGCAAGGGGGCCGGCCTGGGCCACATGGTCCCGCTCCAGGAGGCGGCAGGTGCTCCTGTGGGTTGCAAGCAGGGCCCTTCCCGGCCCCACAGTTCGGCTCCAGGCAGGGACCTTCTGCAGCACAGCAGGAGTTTTGTCCTCGGCCCCGTCTTGGATCTGGAGGTCGACGCTTAGCAAATGGACTGCAAAGCACTCCCCGCAGCCCATCTCAGCCGGATTTGCTGTGACTAAATGGTCCGCGGGAGCTATGAAAATGCCAGGGCATCCGGGTGGCAGGAGAAACCCGGCTGGAGGAGAGCTCACACGAGAGGAAGCCCACCCTGCCAGTGTGTGCGTGTGTGCGTGCCGGGGCGAGCGAGCGCACAGACCCTCTCCGCAGGTGCCTGGCCGAGTGCAGCGGCCAGGGAACCAGTGTGGGGGGGGGCAGTTCCACTTTGGACCACCAAGTAGCTCGTGGAGAAGAGCAGAGCATGGGAGCGCATGGCACGCCCAGCCCGTGGGGGGATGTTCCCTGTGGAGTCCGTCCCACAGCGCTCTGCAGTAGGACGCTGCTGGAGGCAACCCACCCCCCACGCCGGCGGCCGGGCGGCTTGAACAGGCTGTGCTCTTCCGCCCTTCCTCTCGAGGGCGCCTGCAGGCAGCTGCCTGCGCCACGTGGAGGCCTGGCCGGGTGGGCCATCCCCGGCCCGGCCCCTCTCTCGCCGGACGCTGCAACCGGGGCAGGCCGGGGCGGCGCTCAGTCACAGCGTTCCCTCCCCACAGGCTGGGGCCGCTCGAGGCCCGGAAGCGGACCAGTGTCACGCTGCAGCTGACCCCCTACCGGAGCGGGCCGAGGCAGCTGCTCGTCAGCCTCGCCAGCAGCCACTTCCCGACCATGAAGGGCCATGCGCTGCTGCAGGTGGCGCCTGACGTGGGCAGGGGGTGGGGGCGGCGGCGGCTCTAGCCGGGGGCGGCGGGCGGCGGTACGACGGGTGGCGCTCGGCTGGAGCGGCGCGGGTGCCTCGCAGGCACGGCTGCTTCGCACGCTCCCACCCACGTCAATAAATCTTTGCATCCTCAGCCATGCGCTCTGCACCACTGTTGTTTCTGCGGCGGGAGGAAGGCCCCCAGGAACACCCCAGTGGTGGGGCTGTGGGCATCGGTTGCCGGGCGGCCGGGGCAGGAGGGGGTCAGCGTGGCACAGCGGTTAGGGTGCTGGGCTGGGAACCCCGGGGAGTCAGGCCCTCGCCCCCACTCGCCCGGGAAGCTGAAGCGCACTGGGTGACTCTGGGCCAGCCACTCACTCCGTGCCTAACCTGCCTTGCAGGGTTGTTGTGGAAAAATGGAGCCGTGCCAACTGCCTTGGATGTCTCACAAGAGGCAAAGAGGCGGAACATAAATGCAACACAATAGTGACGACGACGACGTCGCGCTGAAGGGGTCCTGCCGGCAGCCGATCCGTCACCCCCAGAACAGGGTGCCGGACAGGCTGGACCGCCGGGCTGGGCCAGAGGGCCGTCCTCCTGTCCTTCTGCCACGTGCCCTTTGCCATCCAACTCGCAGGCCGACCCCCAGGCTCAGGCGCACTCCCCCTGCCTGCGAGCTCCTCCGCAGCCATGCGACTTCAGCCCAGCTGGCAGCGAGATCAGGGGAGCCAGAAGCCGAGCGGCACCCCACCCCAGAGCCAGCCTGAGGAGGCCGGGGCCAGCGGGATCCTAGCAGCCATGCAGACGGCTGTGGCGAGCCACGCAGGCGAGGGGCAGGGTGCGGGGGTCTGGGCACAGCACGGCGCAGCCCCTGTTGGGACCAGTGCAGCCCCTGTTGGGACCAAGAGCCCTGCGGCAGCTCGTGTGCTGGTGGGGCCTCTCCCTGGGGGGTGGGTGCTTCACGAGGCAGGGGGCAGGGAGGACCCGTGGGGCGCTGCTCTGGGGGGTGGGAGCAAGGCGGCCAGCCCCACGGAGCTGAGAGCAGGAGCCAGGAGGGCTCTGACGAGGCAGGAGCCCCGCCGCCCCAGGCTGCTTGGATGCTGGAGCTGCGGCACGGATGGGGCAGCTGGGCCTGCTGGGGCAGTGGATGCTTTGCAGAGACCCGGGAGGGGCCCGCCAGACCGCTGAGCGCAGCCCTCTCTCCGAGCAGGACCCAGCCGAAGCCACACCTCCCGAGGCTGTCCAGAATGCTGGCAGCACGGGAGGGCCCAGGCCGTGGCTTCCACCGCGCCGCTGCTCCAACAGGCCGCTTTTCCAAAGAGGGCTGGCCTCACGCAAGCGCGGAGGGCAGCAGGAGCGAGCCTCGGGGGCCCCTTGGCAGAGCGGGCGGCCAGGGAGCTTCCCGAAACACGTCCAGCAAGAGCGGTCGCCCGCTGCCCCCCGCCAAGCAGGAGGGTGCCTGGGGCTGCCCCCGTCCACTCCCAGCAGGGCTCCCCCACCGGCAGCTGCCGGGTCCCCCCACCTCGCTGGGCCGGAGGGGGGCCGCCTGCAGCCAGAGCTCCGCCCACCGTGCTACCGTCCCCTGCGGCGCTGGGCCTGCTGCCCGGGACAGGGCCCGACTTCCTGCCTCCAAGGAGGTGCCACCGAACAGAGAGAGGAGGACGGAGCCGGGCTCCGGAGAAACGACACGGAAGCCTGCGTTGCACAGAACCGAGCCAGCCTGGTCTCTTTATTCCCGTGCCTGGGGGCGGAGTGCCGCAGGGCTCCCGGCCCGGTGGCAAGCGCGACTCCCCCACACGGCCTCCCCTGCACAGGCTGGCCCACAGAGCCCCCCGCCTGGCCAGGCCACGCCCCTCAGAGCAGCCCTTGGGTGAGCGCCTTGACCCTGCCCATGTTGTGGTCCACCGCCCCGGCCAGGAACCGCACCCAGCTCTCTTCCGGCGGAGGGCAGATGTGGCTGGCCCTGCAGAGGAGAGAGGGCGCTCGGATCAGCCCCCTGCAGGAGGGCACACGCCCAGCCCGCCCCCAACGCCTCCCACTCACTCACCCGGCGACTTCGAGCATCCTCTTCAGCACGGAAGCCAGTTTGCCGGCCTGGAGAGAAACCAGGGCGGGTCAGCCTGCAATGCAACGCAGGCGCGCCGCCCGCTCCCCTCGAGCCCAGAGCCGCGAGGGCCCTTCTGGGGACTCAGCACAGCCACGTGACGACGCCTGGGCATCGGGCGGGTGGCTCTCGTTGGCAACCACACACAAACCGGGGCACTTCCGTTCGTGCAAAAAGCACATGGTCCCTGGCCCTCGAGGGGCTGGCCGGGCAGCTCCCTCGCCCACGACGCACACAGCCCGGGACTCGCCATGGAGGCCGGGCTGGGCCAGCCCCCAGCTCCCCCCCCGGCCCTGCAACACGGCGGCAGCGGCAAGGAGGACCTCCCTCCGCGGCTCCTCCAGGGTAAGCGGCCAGCCGCTCGACAGCCGCACCAGCCTGACCTCTGCTGCCGGGGGCCCTGACCCGGAGCGGGAGGTTGGGGGTCATCCCAGCACAGGCTAATGCTGGGGGGGAGGCATCCCCCGGGGAGGCCTGCTGCCACTCCCAACACGGGAAGCCCCTCAGTGGCTCCCGCTTCCCAAGGACCCTTCACAGAACAGGCCGCGGAGCCTCCTTCCCGGGCAGGCTACTCACGCTCAGTCGCAGGGTCAGCTGGTTCACAGGGGGGTACGTGCTCAGCACCAGTTCGTCCACACTGCAGGATTAAAGTGCATGTGCTCAGTCTCAGGGAGAGGCAGCCTGGTTCCCACGGGAAGCAGGCAGCAACCCCCCCCCCCCACCGGAAGTAGCGCATGGCCCAGCCTGATCCCACCTCCAGACGATGTGGGGAGACGCATGCACCACCCCAAACCCCAGGCAGGGAAACACGGGATTCCATGCGCGTTCACTTCCCTTGGCCCTTCATCTGGAAGCAGAGAGGTGGCGTGTCTGCCGCAGGGACCACAGCCTTTTCTCCAGACACCATTAAGCCACCGACTAAAGCAGACGCACCCCTTTCCCTGCAGACTGCAGGTCCGTCAGGGCACGTGGGTCTAGAAGCCCTCTAGCCGTGCGCTCTGCAGGACCAGATTCCCGCTTTTCCGACTCGCACCACCTGGCCTGCCCTAGTCGACCCATGGCCACCACCTGCAACTTATCGAGTGACCTGCATCCTGTTGGGCAAACGTTGCCAACATGGCGGCACATTGCTTGGAAAGGCAACGCAGATAAGCTGACGCGCGACCCCTCCCGCCGCCGAGCAGAACCTCCCTTCTGTGGCACGTGAGTCACGCAGTCCCATCGTGCCCAGAGGAACCCTTCCCACAGGCGGCAGAGTCGTACAGAGCACGGCTTCCAGACCGGGAGAGGCGCTGGCGCTGCTCTGTGTGACTCTGGTGCGCCCACAGCTGGAGGGCTGCCTCCAGTTCTGGGCTCCCTGTTACAAGGGGGACATAGCAAGGCTGGAATCAGCTCAGCGCAGGATTACAAGGATGGTGGTCAGATGGGCGGCGGTGACGTATGAGACGCAACGGAGGGAGCTGGGCCTTTCCAGCCTGAAGAAGAGAGACTCCGAGGGGATCTCGTAGTGACATTTAGTATATGAACGGGTGGCCTATTCTTCCCTGCAGTGGAGGGCAGGATGCGTCCCAATGGGGCAAAGCTCAAGGAACCAGGTCTCAGGTTGGCCGTCAGGCAGTACTTCTGAGGGTTAGGACCCCTGGGGTATGGAGGGGCTTCCGTGGAAGGCGGTGGGGGTCCATCGGTGAGGGCCCTCGAGGAAAGCCGGCACACCCACATGCTGAGGATCACAGGAGTGGAGCCAGCGAGTGCTGGGGGCCAGGCTAACGGCCTGAGAGGGCCCTTCTGACCCGCGCTGTGCCTGCGCCTCCCTCTAGCTGCCCCCAAGGCCTCCAGGGGCTGCCTCACCTCGGACTGATGTCCCCAGCAATTTCGGCGAGGTTGTCCAGCTCAGCCACCTGCTCCGCCGCGTCCACCCGGCCATGGGCTCTCACCGCCCCCAGCAGCTTCTTCAGGCAAGCTTTCGCAGCCTTCACCAGGCCGAGACAGGGGCCAAGCAGCTTCCGGTCAGCCTCGGACCAGCTGGAGTCGCTGCCCCCAGGGGAGCCCAAGTCTTCGTCCTCCAGCCCTTCGCCGTAGGGGCCTCCTGCTCCTGCCTGTGCCTGGGCGCAGAGGGTCGGCACGGGCTCAGCCTATCCAACCGGCGCCTGCAGGCTGCGGACAGCCCAGAGCCTGAAGCAGGAGCCTCACACTACTCGGACTGCTGGAAGCACTGCGAGGTCCGGCGGCCCATGGGGTGTGGGGAGGATGCCGGATGTGGGCCGGCCGCAGAGCCCAAGGGCGCCATCAAAGGGGCATGTGGCCTCCAGAGGGCTGCATCAAAACCTGCCGGCACCCCAGGGAGCCGTGCAGGGCAACCTTTGTGGCCAAACAGATGGCCACAGCACGGCCAACAGGGAGGGCTGATGGGGGTGGGAGGCCAACCCCCACCTAGCCACACGCCCCGCCCCCACTGCAGGATGGAACCCCCAGCCTCTCGCCCAAGCGGGAGCGCGTCGAAAGCCTTCACACAAGTATCATTCCGGCCAGGTGTGACCCCAGCAAGAAAGCCTGGCCAGACCCGCCGTGCCTAACGGCCACGCAACCAAGCAGGTCAAGGTGAGAGTGAGGAGAGTGGCTGGACCCGGGCCAGAGATCGCGCTGCGGCCAGGGGCAGGGGCAGGCAAAGAGGGAGCTCTCAGTAGGAATGGACACACATCCAGCTCCTTTCAGAGGGACGCAGCCGCACACGGGGCAGTCACGCCAGAAAGAAAAGTGATCCAGATATGTGCCTGCCAGCTGCCAAGATCAAAGCAACAGCGCGTTGAGGAGGGAAAATGTCTCAGGGGAATGGAGAGGTGCAGGGACAGAGAGCCCAGCTTACTAGGACAACTCCCCAGCCACGTCTAAATATGAGGCCCCAGAAACCAAGTTGCAAGTCACAAGCTCACTGCAGCAGGTGAGGAAACCTTTTAAAGGCCCCACAACTGAATGCCGAGGCTGCTGCCGCCGCCCACTAACAGCCCCTCAACCCTGGCAAGGGCTTGTGTGAAAGATCCAAGGCGGCTCAGCCCTGCTTTTGCAGCCCGCCCTTCTCCCTTCCATTCCTTGACCACGTTTTGGTAACACAAAGCTTATTTGATTATTCCAAGTTCAGGCACTGGATTTCTCTGACACCCATGTTCCCCTGTAACGCACCCCCATAACCCGTGACCCCTCCCGGCCAACGTGGCAGCTGTGGCCTCCCCTACCTGCTCCATCTCCTCCAGCGCATCTCTGACGATTCCCAGGTAGGAAGAGATGGCCAGCGCAACGGCTGCCTGGTTATCTGTGTGGAAGAATAAACAATTCCCGTGAGCAGCCCAGGCCCCTGGCAGAACAGCAGTCCTGAGCACTGCCTCACCCTGGATCTGCCCCTCAGCCAGAGCCGGCCTCCATCGAGGACCAGCCGCCCACCCCGCAGTCTCAGGCCCTGCACCCTCCTGCCCGCAAGCCACCACTCACCTCGGGGCAGGCAGGAAATGCGGTCGCAGGCCTCCCAAACGCCTCCCGTTGAGATGAGCTGCTCCTGCGAAAGGCTGCAAGGCGGGCAGGCTGAGAGGCAGCCCCTGGTCCCCTCCCAGCCAGCACAACCCGGGGGGGGGGCCGGCAGAGGTCGGCCACGAGGGACCCCCCCGTGTGCCCCACAAGGGGCTCGCTGCCTTCTACTGGCCGCACAGCCAGACGCGCCTCACCTCTGCTGCGGGGCCCGGAGGATGCTCTCCGAGAGCTGAATCATGCCCTCCACCACTTCGACCGTGGCACCGCGCACTGCTTTGCGCAGGGTGGCTCCTACGAGAGGTGAAGGAGACAGCACCAACCCTCCTGTATCGGCGCTCCCAACCCCGGGCTCCCCACCCGCTGCTTCGCCCATCCTGGGGCAAAACCAGGCAAGCTCCTGCAGCCCCACGGCTTCCAGGCGAGGAGAGGGGCGCCACGCACAGGGCAGCCCAGGGCCACCGGGACGCACCCTCTGCAAAGGCCCGGGGGACTCGGGCAGGCTCTGCAGCAAGGCCGGGAGAGACACTGGCCGCAGGCTCCCAGGCCGGCAGGCCAGGAGCAGGGTGGGGGGGGATGCCTGGAAGAAATGGCAGGCCCCAAGAAGGGGGGAAGGGGGGCCACGGCCTTGCCTTGCCTAGCCCACTCCTCCTCCTCGGCCCACGAGGCGGCGCCCGGAGGGACGGAGGGCTTGCGTGGGGAGCCCCCAGGGGTGGAGCCCCCAGTCGCTGAAGGGGCGACGCCCCCGCTTTGGGTCCACACGCTTTACACGAGCAGAGGCTTATCATCCAGCGCACGGGGGCGTTAGCCTCGCTTTGCCTTGCAGCCGCAAAGGGCCGGTGAATGCGGGGACCGAGGGCGGGATCGGCGGAGCCTGCCCGGCCCGCGCCCGTCTCCCCGCCGCGCCGCCGCCGCCTCACCTTGGCCTCGCGGGAGCCGGCAGCACGCGCGGACAGCCGCTCGCACCGGGCCCTGGGCGGCCTGCGCCAGCCGCTCCTGCTCCTGCGGAGGAAGCGCCCCGCGGGCGGGCTCGTCAGGCCAGGCGCCCCGGAGCGGCAGAGGGCCGCCGGCCCCGCGGAGCCGCGCCCGGGCCCCCGCGCCCCGCCCGCGGGCAGCTCACCCACCTCGAGAGGCGGCAGGGACGGGCCCGAGAAGGCCAGGCTCAGCTTCGTGGCGTCCTGCGAGACGGCCGCGCACGCTCGGGCTGCGGGGAGAGAGGCGCGGCGGTCAGCGGGCGGCCGGGAGAGGCCGCCGGAGCCGCGGGCGGCCGCGCGGGCCTTGGTCGGGGAGCCCCCCCGCACTCGCCCGTACCGAGCGCGTCCCAGAAGCGCC